AGAGCCTTCCTCTCGAGGTGGGCACTTCCCCCTCATCCTTGACACCAGGGAGACAGCCTGGAAGCAAGAAGAGGAAGAGTTCAGGTCCCTCAACAAGCCAGGTATCCCTGAGGGCCCAGACGTTTTGCCCGTTCCAGAAGATGTCTTTGAAATCACAGGCTACCATCACCTGGTGCCGGACGAAGGCCTGCAGATATTCCTTGCCCGTGTAGAACAAGCCCTGAGGACGGACTGCAGCCTGCCCAGGCTGCAGGTGGCCTGTGCCAAGATGGTCTCCAAGACTGGGCTGCTTCTAAGTCTGCTCAGCAAGAGACAAGAGAGCGAGGGAGCCTTTGATCTCATGGGCCAGTGCCCAATAGATGAGAACATCTCCAGACGCACAGCCTTGGAGAAGGTCAAGAAACACAGAGGGGAGGTAGGAGAGCTGCTGGGCACTGCTGGATGTGTCCTTCAGGGCAATGGGGAATGGAAGGAGCAACCTTCTCTCCTCTGCTGATCTTGTCTCCTTTTGTCCCAGAAGAAACAAGAGTCCTTGGATGACACAATCACACTGGTGGTGTTGCTGTCTGTCCTCGCTGTCATTTCTCTCACAGTGATGTGTGTCCTTAAGGTAAGCCAGTATCTTATTGGAGACACAGCTGTCAGTCAAGCCCTGCAGCTGCAGAGCCCAGTTGAGGAGCCCCGTGCACGTGCCGGGTAGCACAGGAGATGTTTGGCCAACCCTGGAGCTTGTGGCAGCATCCACACCCCCAGCTCAGCAGGGTTCAGCCTGCTTGGGGGAAGCTTGTCCTGGCATCCTTCCCGACTCTCTCCAGCAAAACTTTGCTTTGCTCTCCTGCCTTCAGCCATGCAGCAATGGGGTTAGGAGAGCTCTGGGTGTTCATTCACGTTCCGGAGGCAGGGGGAAGAGGGAAAATGGGAAGGGAGGACAGACTCTTTTAAAAATTGTGGCTGCTGGCAGAGACTTGCACGTGTGTAGAATGGGTTGGGTTGGAGGAAGAAGCTTTTGGCCTCTGTTGTTTTGCAGAGTATCACAAGAAAACTCTGATGTTACAAGTCTCCCTTTCTCCTTCCCCAGCTCTGCTCCCGACCCTGTGCAGTGTTTTGCCAATGCCTGTGCACTGTGTGGAGAAGGTAATTAATTACTCCCTGCCCATGCCACTGCTGTGCCACCAACAGTCTTTACTCTGAAGAGCAACTCATCCCCAGGCCCCCCAGCCTTGCAGGAGCCGCTGCCAAAGACTCCCCTGCCTGTGTTTAAAACACGTTGCTTTTGGGAGAGACCCAGCAAAGGAGCCCAGAGTGGGAGTGATGGGCACAGATGTCAGAGCACATCCCAAACAGCCCTTCTCTGTGCCAGTGATGCTCACCCCTGGATGGCTTGGATGAGCTTGGCCAGTCAGTGCCATCCCTTCTGGGGCTCCCAATCTTCCTTAGGCTCTCCTGAAAGGCCCCCTGAGCAGGGAGAGGTGCTGGCCCTGCTGCTGCCCTCCTTGTCCAAACCCACCTGCTTCTTTTCCTGTTTTTTCTCTTGTTTTCAGTTTCCTTGTAATTCTGCGGCGGTGGTGGAGGAAGAACAAGTACAAGAAGTTAGAGGATGTAGAGGTAAGGGCAGGGAGCAGGTGCCAGTGCTGCCTGTCTGTCTGCACTGCCTGCTCATCCTCACCTCTCCCAATCCTCTTCCATGGCACTTTCCAGGACTTTCCTGAGCTCAGCGAGAATGATTTGCTGGTGGCTCAGTACATCATGGATGTTCTCGATAAAGAGGAAGAAGAATCCCGAAAAGAGAGACAGCAAGGGAACACAGATGCCTCCCAGAAACAGACAGAATGCCAAGAACTTCACCTGCAAGAAGGTGAAGAAGTAAGTGGGATGCCAATGCTCCAACCCCTATTCCAACAGAGGAACTGCTGAGACTTTGCTTGAGTGGTATTTCCTTAACTGTTATCTTCTTAGATTCTGCTTCCTTTCTGTTATTTCCTTGGCTATTCCCTTGGAACCTAGTTCCTTGGCTGTTATTTCCTTAGATCCTATTTCCTTACTGCTATTTCCTTGACTCTTTCCTTGAATGTTATTTCCTTGGATGTGATTTCCTTTCTGTTATTCCAGATGGAAGAAGTTTGAGGATTACTCAGACCCAAGATGCTCCTGTCCGGACGCTGCCCTGCCTCCAGCACCCCAAAATCTGGGCCACTGACTCCGTGACCCCTCTCTGCAGAGAGGATGCTGCAGGCGGCTGCCATGCTCAGGACACCCTGAGGAGCTTCCCTGGCACCTGGGAATGGGGGTGGGATGCCCTGGGACCCTCCAAGCTTCTCCCTGGGGATCTGGGAACAGGGGGGTGGGAATAGGGAGGTGGGATGGGTTAGGACCCCCATAGTTTGTCCCTGGGGACCTGGGAATAAGGGGGTGGGAAGAGGGAGGTGGGATGGGTTAGGACCCCCATAGTTCTCCCTGGGGACCTGGGAACAGGGGGGTGGGATGCCTTGGGCCCTCAAAACTCCTCCTTAGGGAATAGGAAGAGGTGATCCAGGCAGCCCCAGGTGTCCTGAGCAGCCGCTGCCGCCGTGCAGGCTCCGGAGCGCGCAGCCTTGCCAGGGTTGCAATGTCCAGGGGGTCAGCACGTGTGGCAGAGTCCCCTCCCCGCAACCCCTTTCATCCAGCTGGTTTGTCTCTCCCTGTTGGGAATGCTTTCCCAATAAATCCCATTTTCTGCAGCCACAGTGTCCTGTGAGACGGGGGAAGCGCCTGTGTGCGTGTGTGGCTGTTTCCGTGTGTGTGTGGGAGGGAGGCTGTGCTCGGGTGCCCAGTGCCAGCAGTGGGACTGCAGTTTGAACTGGCAAGCACTGAACCCCTGGGATGGAGCTGGTGGGTTAAACCCCACTCTGACAACTCAGTTTTTGGACAGCACAAAGATAAGGAGGAAGCACCAGCTCCAAGGGATTTGTTATCAAATACACACCCCCCAACCCCTCAACCTCATGATTTGGTGAGCTTGGTGCCCCTTCCCATTGCTTGTCCTGCCTCTGAGTTTCGTTCGTCACACCACACTACAGAATTTTATTTATTTTAATGAAAAACATGTTTGAAATGAAAAAGATTCTTTGTTTTACATAATGATAATGCTCCAATTACTTAGAGTTGGGGTTCAACACCTCTGGCTCACTTGGCACAAAAGTCTCAACACATTGCTACAAGACTTAGGCTTATTTCTTTAAAACAATTTTCACTTAGAGAAATACTTTTCCTGTGCCTGTGCAAAAGACTGTCAGTCCCACAGCTACTCCTGCTGGTAAGAAGCCTTCCACCTCCAGCTTTTTCCCATGGATTCGAGTGACTTTGAGCCGTATGTGGGTTCCTGCAGGGAGGGCTCGTTCCTTTTGTTGTTCTGGAATTGCTACACACACCTGCTATTCTGTCTAAATACTCGTGCAGCTCCACTGGTTCCAGATATAGATGACCTCAATAAGTTGACAGGAAAACAATTTTTTCCAAAGCCAGCATATATTTGGGGTCTTAATTTTAGCAACATTAGGTTTATTGCCCATTTCTTTCACTGTTGCATATCTGGAAGAAAAGCAAATGTTGTTTATGACGCACGTGGCGTCTCATGGAGTTCAAATTTCATCCCTAATCAAACACTGCAAAACTTTTGGAAACAATGTGAAGACAGAGCTGCTCTAGTTCAGTGGCATCATCAAAACTGAGATCAGACAAAACTTTTTCTTTGAGCTCCAACTGTTCCCAAGATAATTCACTGACCTGCAAAGAGAAACCAAGGGCAAATTTCCCTCCCTAAAACAAATTTTATCTTCATCCCTCTGCACCTGGAAACATATTTTTACCATGTACAAGGGGCAGTCTCCCTGAAATTCACCACTCAGGAACATTTCTGCTTTGGAAAGGTTGACTGACACCACAAGGCAATGAACCAGAAGGACACCCAGCAAGTCCTTCCAAATTCCCTTTCCATCAGTCTGGCTGGTGCTTTGTGGAGAGTGAGTGCTGAATTCCCTCCCATAGGGAGGGAATACCTCCACAGAAGGGGAGTGAGAAGGCAGGGAGGTGAAGGATGACTGCTGGGAAAACAGAGGTTTCTGTTTGACTCTGCTGCTTGCTTCTCTTACGGTCAGGACCAGTTGGGTCAGCTCTCCATGGGTTTAAAAGAGGCTGGATAGCAGGGGCTGTACAGAGGAGAATGTGGAGAGAGAACAAACCAGGAGACATTTCGTCTCCTGGACTTATAAAAAAAATTGTCACGGATATTGGTTATGTCACACTCCAAAATACTCCAGTTTTGCTGCTACTCTTCAGTAAGGGAGGGAGCCAGTTCTGCCCGTGGACACCAGGTGACTCAGTGTCACCAGGTGGAACAAAGTGTCACAAGGCTGGTCAGACGCTGCTCCAGGAAAACTGCAGCAGGAATGAACCATGGAATATCCTGAGCTCGAAGGGACCCCCAAGGATCATCGAGTGCAGCTCCTGCCCCTGCATGAGTCACCCCAGCAATCCCACCATGTGTCTGAGAGTGTTGTGCAAACACTTCTTGAGCTCTGGCAGCCTTGGGGCCTGTTCCAGTGCCAGAGGCAGCCCCAGGGCTGGCTCACCACAGGAGCAGCTCCAGAGAGGCCAAGATCACCCTGGACTTGGCTCCTTTCAAGCCAATGTGCAGACAAGAAATTGCAAAACGTCCCTTTTTGTGGGGAAAATGGAAGCAAATCAGGGTCACAATAAATGACACTACGAGTGCAAGCAGTGATGGAGCTGAGTGCTGGCAATGAGCTACAACAACCCAGGGGATTTGGGGACACCTCTCTGTGCCCTCATTTCAGCTACTCTAATAGCAGAGGAGCAGGACCCAAATCATGACCCTCACAAGCCAGGGCTTCCCTTGCTGTCGTTGCCATGAGGGTTGTGCTGAGAAATGCCTGTAACTGCTCAGGTAAGCTGGGTAACCTGGACAAAAAGCCTCCCCAGATAAGCCATGGTGTTTCTAGATGGAGTGAGCTGAAAATCCCCTGCTCAGGGCTGGCTCGTTGATATGGTTTGGAGACTTGGCAGGGAGCCAGCTTCAAACCTGGCCATGCTGTGCCCCCTCCTCACCAGCCTGGCTTACATAAAAATCGTAGGGAATACTGGGTAGATCTGGGCCCTTCCTTGGTTACAAACTGGTCACCAAGGAAGGCCTAGACCAAACTACCACACTTGTGCTGGGGCTGGCCCACAGAACCCACCCCCCCCAAGCACCATGAGCAGTTTTACCATGGTATTGAGGTATTTTTGTTCAGATCCCACAATCACCTGCAGGGATTCTCCAAAGCTTTTACCAGTCATTCCCTCTGGGTAAAAGGAAGCTTGCAAAGTGCGTTTTTAGATGCAAAGTTTGATTTATTTAAGAACTTATTAAAAAATCATTTGATTTAACCTACTGTGGCTTTACCAGGATTTTCCCTCCCACAGATTCCATAAAGAGCAGCCCTGGATGCTGTCATGTGTCAGACTTGTCTGGCTGCTTCGCAACAATCCAGTACCCTAAATGCATGTTTTTCCATCCCATCTAAAATATATATGTGCATTTCTGCACAAAGATACCCTCCAAAAGTAGTTTTACTGTACAATTCCAAGATGTAATTTCTTCTCAGGATTTAAGTCGAGGCAATTGCAGCATCAAGGAGTAAATAGTCTCTCTCCCTGTTTCTTGTAGACCCCCTTCAGGCCACAATTAGGTCACCCTGGAGCCTTCACTTTTCCAGGCTAGATCCTGACTAAGAGAATCCCAATTTTCTTACTCATCTTCGCCCCCACCTGCCTCCTGCCATGCTTTGTGTGGATTTACTATTCAGTGAAATATTGGCACAGTGTTTTGCAGGCAGATTAATGGGGTTTGGTTCCAGCTCTTCCACCTTGTGCTGGGCTCTGGGCACTTTTGCTGGGAAGACCGACTCCAAACTGGCCATGGAATTGGGGCTGGAATTCCCCCTGGGCTGGGCCAACACCCCCGTGGTGGAGACAAGGGAACTGAAAAATTATTAAAAACAAACAAAAAAAATAGGAGGAAAAAAAAGGGAAGGATTTAAAAATAAATTATTAGTGTGGTAGCAGCACTAGTAAAGCCTTCAGTACAGATGGGGAGGGCTGAGGCCTTGCCTTGAGGGGGAGGAGAGATCACTCAGCCCTGGGGGTGCCCCGGGCCTTCCTCCCCAGCCCTGGGGGGATCCTGGGGGATCCAGAGGGGTCCCGGGCCCTGTTCCTGTGGCCCCGGGTAGGTCCCAGGCCCCGCTCCCCACAGCTCCAGCCCCTCGGTCACGGCAGCGCTGGAGCCGCCATGGCCCGGCCCGGCCCCGGCCCGGCCATCCTGCTCCTGCCTGGAGCGTGAGGGGAAAGTGCCTCAAATCCACCCCCCAGCCACAAATCCATCCCCCTCAGCCCCGAATCCAGTCCCCCTAGCCCCAAGTCTACCCAAATCTACTCCCAAATCCACCCTCCTCAAACCTAAATCTACCCCCCAACTGACCCCAGCCTGAAATTCACCCTCCTCAGACCCAAATTCACTCCCTCAGCCCCAAATCTCCCAAATCTACCCTCCTTGGACCCAAATTTACCCCCACATCCACCCCAGTCCTAAATTCACCCCGTCAGCCACAAATCCATCCCACTCAGCCCCAAATCCAGTCCCCCCAGCCCCAAGTCCACCCAAATCTGCTCCCAAATCCACCCTCCTCAGATCCTAATCCACTCCCTCAGCCCTGAATCCACCACCTAGACAAAAATCCACCCCCCCCAGACCCAAACCTGCCCTCCAAGTCCACCCTCACATCCTCAAATCTGCCCCTGTGCAAATCTACTATTCAAATCCACCCCCCACCCCAAATCCACCCCCTCCAGCCCTGAATCCACTTCCTCAGCCCCAAATTTACACCCAAATCCATCCCCAGCCCCAAATTCACCCTATCAGCCCCAAATGCACCCTTGTGCCAAATTTACCACCAAACCAACCCCTAACCCTGAATCCACTTGTTCAGCCCCAAATTTACCCCCAAATCCACCCTCAGCCCCAAAACTGTCACCACGTAGCCCTAAATCCACTCTTCTCAGACTCAGATCCACCCCCTAGCCCTAAATCCATCCTCAGCCCCAAATCCTCAGCCTCCACTCTCAAATCTGCTGCCTAGACCAAAATCTACTCCGAAATCCACTCCTAGCTCCAAATTCACTCCCCTTAGCCTTAAATCTGTCTCCCAGCCCCAAATCTACCCCAGCCTCAAATTCATCTCCCCAGCCCCATATCCAGTCCCCCCAGCCCCAAGTCCACCCTCCTCAGACCCAAATCCCCCTCCAGCTCCAAATCTGCTCTTCAGCCCCCAATCCTTACTCTCTAGCCTCAAGTCCATCCCA